CTGTACTAATTGCACTGGGCAGGAAGGGGTTAACATCTGGGGTGCTCAAAGGGTTAACTGTGTGCTGTATATGTTTTACTAGGGAGACATGCTGTGCAGAGAAATACATAGCAGCATGTCCTTGCTGGCAGGAGAGAGATTTGTGTTGTTTACACACAGGTCTCTCCCGTCTGCTTTGCACAGTGATCAATCAGGTGCTGGCAGGGATTCTTCACCCGGGACCTGGTGATTGACATGCCTAGCCACCAATGGCAGTGTGGGTAGGGCGGCGCGCATGCTCCCTACCCAGAGATCTTGGGGCGATCAAAGGGGTAACTGTGTGCCTAACAATGTGTAATGTCTTCTGCTTTTACTTAGTTATCTGTCTGTTTTTTCTTCCTGCTTTGCAGGGAGAAGAAACAGCCAGATCACTGTTCACAGTACACAGAGTGATGTGTTTTTGTAAACACAGAACTCTATGTGATTGGCCACAGCCGATCAGCTGACTTCAGCCAAACCTGTGTTGTGTCCAGTCATAGCATGGGTTGGCAGGGGGCGCTGCGCGCATACGCGCTTCAAGCCCGGGAGAGAGGCTGCATTATACTGGTATGTCGCCCGGCCTGCAGCTGCCGCTCGCAGTACAACTACTGTGGGTGGATGGCAAGCAGTTAAGTTAACATTCAAGTTTTCTATTTTACCTGCCAAAGGACTGGCCATTTCATCTAGCTCTGCTAGGCAGGTAGGACTGTGCTACTGGTTTACAATTTTTACTTGCTGGTACTTCTCATTGCTCAATGTCCAGTAGCCATCGTGAACATAGGAAGCTACAAAACTGAACCAGGAAAGAAGTCAGGCATTCCTCTGGCTGTGCATTGGTCAACAGGTGTGTAAATCACAAAACTGTCTGACCAGAATTACAAATCTTTTCACAGGTAAACCAGTGCATATACTATACCTATTAACCAGTTACCCTCCTCCCTATAGCGGAAGTACTGCTACAGGGCAGCAGCGCTGCACAAAATCACGGATTTATACTCAATTTGCATTTCCGGCAAGGAGGCGTGCGCACGCCACCCTACCTGCACCGCTATTGGCGTCTACAGATGTCAATCTCCGGGCCTCGGTCGGCAATTCCCCGCTGGCACTTGGTGATAGTCAGGGAAAGCTGACGGGAGAGACCTGTGTGTAAAACGTAAAAATGGTGTATTAAGTGAAAAAGAAGGGAAATCAGAGGGAGTGAAGGCCTGTCGTAGGATTTAAAGTGGTTGTAAACCATTCCATATCCCCAGTGAAGTGACTGTCCTCAGGTCATACACAGAGATGAAATAAATCCTACTATACGAGTTGTACCTGTTTATCTGTAGCCGTCTCTTCTCTAAATCCGTTCAAAGTGCTGGATTTATAAAGCTTGTTCGAGCTGTCAGGAAAAAAAGGGAGCAAAGAGCTGATAATACACAATGCAGAGCTCAGTGACGGGGAACACTGAGAGATGACTGGAGGGAAGAAACACTCCCCCACCTTCACACAGTCCACAGGAACAGACCTCAAGCTGTCAATCACAGTGCTGGAGCTTCCTCCCGTCACCTTTTTTTCTCTTGGTGTCAGGAAAACTTGTCAGAAGTGACTCATGCTGATAGCAGAGGAACGAAGCAGCAGACAGAAATGACACATAGTGCTCTGGATTGAGACAAACACACACTATAAAAGGATATGCTTCGTTCATTTTTCATGTTTCAGGGTTACAACCATTTTCAGAACAACCTAAATAAATTACAATAATTTATTAATTTTAGGAAAAGAGGAGCCCAGACTAGTCGTTTTGTGGTTTACATCGTTGACCCATGGGTCATATACTTAAAGAGTAACTCCACTTTTGTTGAGAAAAATAAAAACATTCCCCACTAGGTGCTCAATGTACAGTACATTGCAGGAATTATAGCAAACTTTGTTGCAGATTCCTACTTTTTGTTTTCTTGAAGAAATAGCTGTTTGTTTGTCAGTGTCCATGTGCAGAGGGAATCTGTATGGGAGTGGTTTTATAACTATCAATCAGCTGCTGCACCTGCAGGGCTCTAATGAGGAAAGTGGCAGGGTCATCACTTTAGATTTGATTTCCCTTTGGGAGTATATCTTTGCTGCAGGGGATGCCAAAAATATGACTTGTATCTTAGTGCAGGCTTCTGGGAAGTTCAGTAAGCCAATCACACAAGCAGGAAATTAAATTTTCAGGGGGCGTTCTGTACAACATCTGTGTACAGAACACCTCCAGGTCGCCATATTGGATTTTAGAGAAAACTAAAGCACCGCAGGTTGAAGAGGAAAGGTCTCTTTTAACCGGTTCCCTGCCACCCTATAGCAGAACTACTGATACAGGGCGGCATGGCTGTGCAAAATCATGTATATATATACACATGTGATTTTGCATTTCCGGGTAGGGGGCGCGCATGTGCACTGCCCTACCCACACCATTGGCACCTACAGCTGTCAATTACTGAGTCCTGGCTGGAGATTCCCCAGTGGCACTCAGCGATTGCCGAAAAACAGTGACAGGGGAGAGGTCTGTGTGTAAACAACACAGATCTCTCCCCTGTCAGCACTGACATACTGCTTTGTATTGCTCTGCACAGCATGTGTAAAATACACACACATGTGTAAAACCTAGTAAAAAACACACAGCCCCAGATGTTAACCCCTTCCTGCCCAGTGCGATTAGTACAGTGTCAGTGCTTTTTATTAGCACTGATCACTGTATTGGTGTCACTGGGGATGTCAGTGACACCAAGTCAGTTCCCCCCAGTGTTAGAATGCCCGCTGCAGTCCCGCTATAAGTCGCTGATCGCCGCCATTACTAGTATACAAAAAAAGAAAAAAACTTTCCAGTATATACAGGTGAAACTCGAAAAATTAGAATATCGTGCAAAAGTTCATTTATTTCAGTAATGCATTTTAAAAGGTGAAACTAATATATGAGATAGACTCATTACATGCAAAGCAAGATAGTTCAAGCCGTGATTTGTCATAATTGTGGTGATTATGGTTTACAGCTCATGAAAACCCCAAATCCACAATCTCAGAAAATTAGAATATTACATGCAACCAATAAAACAAGGATTGTACATAGAACAATATCGGACCTCTGAAAAGTATAAGCATGCATATGTACTCAGTACTTGGCTTGGGCCCCTTTTGCAGCAATTACTGCCTCAATACGGCGTGGCATGGAAGCTATCAGCCTGTGGCACTGCTGAGGTGTTATGGAAGACCAGGATGCTTCAATAGCGGCCTTCAGCTCTTCTGCATTGTTCGGTCTCATGTCTCTCATCTTTCTCTTGGCAATGCCCCATAGATTCTCTATGGGGTTCAGGTCAGGTGAGTTTGCTGGCCAATCAAGCACAGTAATCCCACAGTCATTGAACCAGGTTTTGGTGCTTTTGGCAGTGTGGGCAGGTGCCAAGTCCTGCTGGAAAATGAAGTCAGCATCCCCATAAAGCTCGTCTGCAGAAGGAAGCATGAAGTGCTCCAAAATCTCCTGGTAGACGGCTGCGTTGATCCTGGACTTAATGAAGCACAGTGGACCAACACCAGCAGATGACATGGATCCCCAAATCAACACAGACTGTGGAAACTTCACACTGGACTTCAAGCATCTTGCAGTGTGTGCCTCTCCATTCTTCCTCCATACTCTGGGTCCTTGGTTTCCAAATGAGATGCAAAAGTTACTCTCATCAGAAAAGAGGACTTTGGACCACTGAGCAACAGACCAGGTCTGTTTTTCTTTAGCCCAGGTAAGACGCTTCTGACGTTTGTTGTTCAGGAGCGGCTTGACAAGAGGAATACGACATTTGAAGCCCACGTCCAGAATCCATCTGTGTGTGGTGGCTCTTGATGCACTGACTCCAGCCTCAGTCCACTCCTTGTGAAAGTCCACAACACTTTTGAATGGCCTTTTCCTGACAATCCTCTCCAGGCTGCGGTCATCCCTGCTGCTTGTGCACCTTTTTCTTCCACACGTTTCCCTTCCACATAACTTTCTATTAATGTGCTTTGATGCAGCACTTTGGGAACATCCAACTTCTTTTGCAATTACCTTTTGAGGCTTTCCCTCCTTATGGAGGGTGTCAGTGATGGTTTTCTGCACAACTGTCAGGTCAGCAGTCTTTCCTATGATTGTGATTCCTACTGAACCAGACTGAGAGACCATTTAAAGGCTCAGGAACCCTTTGCAGGTATTATGGCTTAATTATCTGATTAGAGTGGGACACTTTTGAGCCGAGAATATTGCAGCTTTTCACAATATTCTCATTTTCTGAGATTGTGGATTTGGGGTTTTCATGAGCTGTAAGCCATAATCATCACAATGATGACAAATCACGGCTTGAACTATCCTTCTTTGCATGTAATGAGTCTATCTCATATATTAGTTTCACCTTTTAAGTTGCATTACTGAAATAAATGAAATTTTGAACGATATTCTAATTTTTCGAGTTTCACCTGTAAACTGCTAAATATCTTTTCTGATCAGCGCTTTAATGTGAAAAATGGCCTGGGCAGGAAGGGGGGGGGGGGGGGGGGGGGTAATCCTCGGTAAGGCAAGTGGTTAATAACATTCAATGACAATATGATTGGTGTCACAATTGTATACGCTACATTATTATTATTTTTTTTTATATGCTCATCTTTTTCCCATGAAAGTGGAGTTTCCCTTCAAAAGAGGTGAATTCGTTTGTCACAGTCGTATTAATAGAGTTCTGAAATTCTTAGCACAGAGAAGGAAATGTCTATGATTTGAATGAACATAATGGGCCAGCATGGGATCTCCTGGGGCTACAGATGTCATTCCTGGACGGTTCTCTGATAGCATGCAGGTTCACATCAAAGCCTCAATCATTCTGTTCCAGCTGCCTCCAGAAGCCCAAAACCAAGAAGTCCTGCTAAGCCTACTTCAACTGGAAAAATGGGGCAAACACAAGAAGAATGAGCCGATTGGATGCTGCGATAATTGGCACCTTTATAAAAGGCGCCTACTCGGCTGCCACTTCCGCCACGGGAACCTCTTGCATCCTGTGGGAACCGAGATGGGACATAAGCGACGTTTTCCTTGTAAACATTTTCCCACATTCCAAACAGGAAAATGGCTTCTCTCCAGTGTGTGACCTCTGGTGTTGGATGAGACTTCCCCTGCGGGTGAAACATTTCCCGCACTGAGGACAGGAATACGGGTTTTCAGTCATGTGAACAATCTGATGGGTGGCAAGGTGCGATCTGTTAGTATAGCTTTTCCCGCATTCGGAACACGAGAATGGCCTTTCTCCCGTGTGAAGTCTTTGGTGCGAGATCAGGTTTACCCTTTGGGTAAAACACTTTCCGCATTCGGAGCACGAAAATGGTTTCTCGGCCGTGTGTGTCCTTTGATGCGCGATGAGGTTTTGCTTCTGGGTGAAGCTCTTTCCGCACTCGGAGCAGGAGAACGGTTTTTCTGGAGCGTGAATTCTCTCATGGGATATGAGGCTTCCTCTCTGGGAGAAACATTTCCCGCACTCAGAACAAGCGAACGGCTTCTCCCCGGTGTGAACGCGTTCATGTATAACCAGAAGTGATTTTTCAGGAAAGCTTTTCCTACACGTGGGACAGGAGTATTGTTTCTCAGCTGTGTGGTTCCTACAATGTCTGGTGAGGTCAGACTTCTGCCTAAAGCCCTTACCGCATTCTGGACATGAAAACGGCTTCTCCCCTCTGTGGATTCTTTGGTGTGTGATAAGTATATCTTTCCCAGTGAAACATTTCCCGCACTCCGAGCAGGAATACGGCTTCTCTCCCGTGTGGACTCTCTCGTGTTTGACAAGCGTTGCTTTCTGGGAAAAACATTTCCCACACTCTGGGCATGAAAATGGTTTCTCCCCTGTGTGGGATCTCTGGTGTACGATAAGCTTTCCTTTCCTGGTAAAAACATTTTCCACACTCCGAACACGAAAAGAGATTTTCGCCCGTGTGGATATTCTGATGTTCAATTAAGTAGCGCTTCTTTGTAAAACATTTTCCGCACTCAGAACATGAAAATGACTTCACCACCCCGTGACTTCTCTGATGCTCAATAAGATCTGCCCTGTGGGTGAAACAGTTTCCACACTTGGAACACGAGACCATTTCCCCATCGACAGCACACGTGCGATTGGTGACGGGAGGGGGATGATCGGGTAAACCCCCTCCATCGGAGGAAAGATTAGTAGGAGGAAGGGCTGGATTGAGAGGTTGAGTGGTGGAGTTTTCTTCTGAAGAATCAGACGTGATGTCATCATCCTCCGAAGAATCGGATGCAATGTCATCATCTTCTGTCTCACCATCGGGAGATATTGTGGTACATTGCTCTGCGTCATACCGTCTGTATCTTCCATCTGGAGAAGAGGAAAAAAAAAATTCTTTGTTATAACAATGGACGGTGTGGACTGTGCAGAGATGGGGCTTTAGGCCCCTTCCACATGCGGCGGACTCCACTTTGCTCAATGGGGGATCGGTCTGCTGATCACGCACTGATTGGTGAAGAACAGGTGGGTCACAGGTCCATGTCCGCTCCACCTGTCCACTGTCTGTTTGCACCCAACTGCCCTCCGATCCGATCCCCCCCAGACAGAGGGGAACGGACCCCCTTACGTTGGTTTTCAGTGAATCGGATTAAAGGTAAGCGGGTGTAAAGTGGTTCCGTTTACATCTGCCACTCCATAGAGATGAATAGAGGGTCTGATCAGGTCCACCTGAAAAACAGACATGTGGACCACTTACAGGTGGATTTCTAGGGCAGAAGAGGAGCAGGCTGAAATACGGTTTGCTCATGGCTGCCATACTGGCAAAATCCTCTCTCGTATTAGGAGAGGTATAGACTCCAGAGAGAGAGATATAATTTCCCCCCCAGTACAAATCATTAGTAAGACCTCATCTGGAATATGCAGTTCAGTTTTGGGCACCAATTCACAAAAAGAACATTGGGGAACTGGAGAAAGTACAGAGAAGGGCAACCAAACTGATACGTGGCATGGAGGAGCTCAGCTATGAGGAAAGATTAGAGGAACTGAAGAGGATAACTCTCTTGAGAAGAGGCGATTGAGAAGAGGGGGGATATGATCTCCATGTATAATACATAAGGGGGGATATGATCACCATGTATAATACATAAAGGGGGATATGATCACCATGTATAATACATAAGGGGGAATATGATCACCATGTATAATACATAAGGGGGGATATGATCTCCATGTATAATACATAAGGGGGAATATGATCTCCATGTATAATACATAAGGGGGGATATGATCGCCATGTATAATACATAAGGAGGAATATGATCTCCATGTATAATACATAAGGGGGGATATGATCTCCATGTATAATACATAAGGGGGAATATGATCTCCATGTATAATACATAAGGGGGGATATGATCGCCATGTATAATACATAAGGGGGGATATGATCTCCATGTATAATACATAAGGGGGATATGATCTCCATGTATAATACATAAGGGGGGATATGATCACCATGTATAATACATAAGGGGGGATATGATCACCATGTATAATACATAAGGGGAGATATGATCTCCATGTATAATACATAAGAGGGAATATGATCTCCATGTATAATACATAAGGGGGGATATGATCGCCATGTATAATACATAAGGGGCGATATGATCGCCATGTATAATACATAAGGGGGGATATGATCTCCATGTATAGTACATAAGGGGGGATATGATCTCCATGTATAATACATAAGGGGGGATATGATCTCCATGTATAATACATAAGGGGGAATATTATCTCCATGTATAATACATAAGAGGGATATGATCTCCATGTATAATACATAAGGGGGATATGATCTCCATGTATAATACATAAGGTGGGATATGATCTCCATGTATAATACATAAGGGGGATATGATCTCCATGTATAATACATAAGGGGGGATATGATCTCCATGTATAATACATAAGGGGGGTATGATATCCATGTATAATACATAAGGGGGGATATGATCTCCTTGTATAATACATAAGGGGGGAATATGATCTCCATGTATAATACATAAGGGGGGATATGATTTCCACGTATAATACATAAGGGGGATATGATCTCCATGTATAGTACATAAGGGGGGATATTATCTGCATGTATAATACATAAGGGGGATATGATCTCCATGTATAATACATAAGGGGGGATATTATCTGCATGTATAATACATAAGGGGGATATGATCTCCATGTATAATACATAAGGGGGGATATGATCTCCATGTATATTATATAAGGGGGGATATGATAATACATCCATGTATAATACATAAGGGGGATATGATCACCATGTATAATACATAAGGGGGATATGATCTCCATGTATAATACATAAGGGGAGATATGATCTCCATGTATAATACATAAGGGGAATATGATCTCCATGTATAATACATAAGGGGGGATATGATATGATCTCCATGTATAATACATAAGGGGGATATGATCGCCATGTATAATACATAAGGGGGGATATGATCTCCATGTATAATACATAAGGGGGATAAGGGGGGATATGATATCCATGTATAATAGATAAGGGGGGGATATGATCTCCATGTATAATACATAAGGGGGATATGATCACCATGTATAATACATAAGGGGGGATATGATCACCATGTATAATACATAGGGGGGGATATGATCACCATGTATAATACATAAGGGGGGATATTATCTCCATGTATAATACATAAGGGGGGGGGGGGGGTATATGATCACCATGTATAATACATAGGGGGGGATATGATCACCATGTATAATACATAAGGGGGGATATGATCTCCATGTATAATACATAAGGGGGGATATTATCACCATGTATAATACATAAGGGGGGAGATGTATAATACATCAGGGGGGATATGATCTCCATGTATAATACATAAGGGGGGATATTATCTCCATGTATAATACATAAGGGGGGGATATGATTTCCTTGTATAATACATAGGGGGGGATATGATCACCATGTATAATACATAAGGGGTGATATGATCTCCATATATAATACATAAGGGGGATATGATCACCATGTATAATACATAAGGGGGGATATGATCTCCATGTATAATACATAAGGGGGGGATATGATCTTCATGTATAAATACATCAGTGGTTCATATAGTGAACTCGGTGTAGATATTCACCCTGAGGTCATCACGGAGGACAAGGGGGCACTCTTTACGTCTGGAGGAAAAGAAATTTCATCTCCAAGCACAGAAAGGGTTCTTCACAGTGAGAGCTGTGAGAATGTGGAATAGACTCCCTCAAGAGTTGGTTCTGGCCAGCTCAGTGGATTGCTGTAGGAAAGGCCTGGATTCTTTCTTGGACACACAGAATATAATTGGATACTAACATTTATAGGTAAAGTTGATCCAGGGAATATCCGATTGCTTCTTGGGGGATCAAGAAGGAATTTTTTTCCCTGCAGGAGCAAATTGGATCATGCTTTGCTGGGTTTTTGCCTTGCTCTGGATCAACTGTGGGTATAGGATTATAACTTTTTTTTAATGGTTGAACTGGATGGACGTTTGTCTTTTTTCAGCCAGACTAACTATATACTGAAATGAGTGTCAGGATGCTACTCGAATCAGAGGCATGCATGCGCCAAAACGAAGACCTGGCATCACTGCCTGTATTTTGCATGGCTGTACTCCTTGAGGATGCGTTAGGAATGCACCGGCCCAAGCTGATGCAAGGATGTGCAGTGGTGCACGCCCTCGTCCAGGACCGACGCCAAATGCCCTTTATAAGGAAGAGAGCAGCCTCCAGAGATTTATGCTGTTCATTGGCTCCCCAGTGCTCTTGTTCCTGTGTTTCTTGGATTTCCCAATACTGACTCAGCTTGCTTCTGGCCTTGTCTTCTGCCTGATTCCTGGTTCTGGCATCAGCTTACTCTAAAGCAGGGGTCTCCAAACTATGGCCCTCCAGGTGTTGAGGAACTGCAAGTCTCATGAGGCCTTGCAAGACTCTGGCAGCCACAGGCAAGACTGCCAGAGGCAGAGGCATGATGGGACTTGTAGTACTTCAACAGCTGGAGGGCAATAGTTTGGAGACGCCTGCTCTGATGGACTCTACTTCTTCTGATCACCCTTGAATGACCCTGGCCTGCCTCCCTGGCTACTTTCTTGTCCTCATGGCTGGCTTCTGTAAACAACTCGACCTCAGTTCAGTTCTACTAGTCTGCCCTGCTACGGGTACTACCTACCTCCTGGTGTTGTTGTTCCAGGCCTGCCTCACCATTGGGGATTCCAGAACCGCAGCTGACACCGTGTCCAGTAACTCTCCAGCCAGACATCCCCACAAGCAGCCTCCAGCAGGCAACCCATTCTTCTTTGAACCTTGCACGCCCTGTCCTCACCTCCAAGGGTGCTCAGAGTTTACCCGCAAGGGAAGTCCTCTTGTCACTTTGGCCTCCAACCTTTTACGTAATAGAATGTTTTTCCAAACTTATCAACTTTTATTGAAAAAAGTTATTTTGGTCACAGGGGCTCTTTGTTTATTTGTCTATTTAAATGTCTCAATATATTGGATCAATTCACTTTACGTAAGTATATCAGACCTTTAGGGTTTATTACTCACCTGTGCCGATCTCTGGAGGTCTCTCCTCCTTTTTACATGGTTCCTCACCCCTTGGGTACATATCTTCCTCCTTCACTTCAACTTTAATAGGACTTTCATCCTGAATAATAACAGAAGAAAGGCAAATGAATGCTATCACTATAAGAACCACTGAATGTGCATCTACACTGGAAGACTCTCCATTCCTACCCAACATCAGAGGTTTAGGCGTGTACCATCACCAATCTAAAAAAATGTTCATATTCATGGATTGCAAGTGAGGCTATAAAATGGCTACAATACACAAACAAATTATTGCATAATTTCCGGTGTCTGATTTCTAACTGGTTCCAACTAGTACCGTATAGCCAGAATAATCTAAGCCCTGCATTCAGGTTGATCTATCTGATCTAATGTATTCAAAGCAAGCGAATGTACTCCAAACCATCAGATGTAGCTGTGTTTTTTCGAGAACACAAATCTAGTCGACAGCTTTTCTTC